TAATCATAATAATCATAATCAAAATCATTTATTCAGTTTAGGCTGTTACAAGCACATATGAATGTCTAGAAGCTACGCCATCGGTTCGTAAATCTACGGCGGGAGACCTTGTACTGAGTAGAACCGGCAAGAAACTCAGCAAGGGCTGTTTTTTTCTCCCTGTTTTATTATTTACAGAGTCGTCAAATTGAAAAATGACTTCAGAGGTGATACATGAAGTCACTTTTCATTACATAATTTTTAAATATACATTAATTGTTTACCTGCATTTTGTCTGATTTCATAATAAGCTTTCAAAAATAACATTCTTCAAATGTGCTCTGTTAAATGCGTTCATACTTCAAACAAACATAAACCAAACAGAGAATCATCATCGTTCGTTCGTTCGTTCTTCAGGGCGGTTTCCGCACTTAGTCCTAATTATTGGATCATTGTGCGTGTCTCAAAAAAATTCCCGTTTACTCCAGCCAGCCTATATCGGTCCAGAAGGAAAGCAGCCTTGGTAGACTGCTGCAATCTTCCGGAAACGATTCTGGTGACTGGAGAAGTCGTGCCCGTTGGTCGGCCACACTCCTGCATTCCATGATGACATGCTGTGGCGTTTCTTCTGCCTCCATGCATCCTCTGCATAGGGGGCTGTCTGTAACTCCTGTTGTATATAGGTGTTTGTTTAGGGGACAATGACCAGTCAGGGATCCTATAATCCTGCGAAGTTTGTCCCTATTTAGTCTGGTAAAGGTGCGGGCAAAACTTCATCACCATCATCAGCCTATTAATGTCTCCACTGCTGGGGCACAGGCCTACCCTATGGATGGAATAAAAAAAATAAAAAATAATAAACAGAGAATATTCCCCTTTAACTCTGCTCTCGTGAAAAAAATTTAGCTCCAGTAAAAACTTGTATTCTTTCAATGTATTTTTCCCCTACATTTACAAAAAAAAACAGTTTAAAGAAAACTTTAATGGGAAAAATTATGCTATAGGTAATCCACAGTGGGTTCCCTAAAATGCGAAGAGATGGCGCTGCCTTCCAGCGAAGAAATATTAGAGAAAATTCGACACGGACAATTAAGGCCGCGGTAACATAATGTTCAGTGCATCCGCCCGAATAGTGGATGCTGCGGGTTCGAGTCCCGTCTGCTCGAAAAAGGCCAAAAATAAACAAATTTTTATCACCATTAAAGACGTTCATTGAGGAGATTGAATAAGCATTTAAAAAAAATAAAACATAGAGGCATAGTATAACTAAGTAGTATTATTCTTTGTGTAAAATTCTTTTCATCATCATCATCATCATCAGCCGATTAATGTCCCCACTGCTGGGGCACAGGCCTTCCTATGGATGGAATAGGGAGCTTGGGCCATGACCACCACGCGGGCCCAGTGCAGAAGCAGCCGGGACCAACGGCTTAACGTGCCTTCCGAAGCACGAAGAAGCTCGAGATAGTAAATTTTTGGTCACCCATCCAATGACCGACCACTGCGAAAGTTGCTTAACTTCAACATTCGCAGTCGAACGCGCTAACCACCTGTGCCATCGAGCTCCTCAAAAAAAAACTTTTACATATATCTAATTTTCGAGGTGGAAATCGTCGAGAGTTAAACATTGAATTTAGGAATTTCATACGCAATTTTCAGCGTTTAAAGTTAACAACTACTAGACGTGCTAGGGCACGAACCAATATCGAATTCGTATCGTTTGCGAGTCCGAAATGTCATTGTCAAATCTGTACTGATTTTTAGATCTCGTTACGTACTTTGTGCCGCTGCTGTTCAATTTCCATACAAAATTGAATAAATAAAAAATAGTAAATACATTTCGGTTTGCAAAATATTCGAATTAGAAAATGGTTGGGGCTAGGGGTACTGTTGTCCCTATCATAAAGCGTGACAGCAAGTTTCTTCAAATACCTATTTCTCAAATGCCTTTAAGCTCGCGTCCGCTTTTAAATGTTTAAAATATAAAGAAATAGTTTTTTGCATGTCTAGTGCTGTAGAATCATTTGTTAGACTACTAGACCAAGAGCTGCTGAACCCTCCGACTAACGGTCTGTCTGTAAGGCTAGAAATTCTTATGGTGATGATTATGCATGCTTAGTACGGTAAACATCGTCTGGCACTCCTCAGCCCTGCACGTCATCAAGCCATTAAATATTAATAATAACAGAATAAAGTTTATTTTTATGTATATATTACACACCTTCCGGTTCGCCTGGCGGGCACTTGTGCTCATCGTAAACGCCTGGCAATATTTTTTTAAACTTAAAAATTAATAAACTATATTGTATTAAAAATTTCAAGCAACAAGGTTTTTTTTAATATTTTTTTGACATTTTCAAAAATATATTGCTTGATGACGTGCAGGGCTGAGGAGTGCCAGACGATGCTTACCGTACTAAGCATGCTATGACTCATCACCATAAGAATTTCTAGCCTTACAGACAGTCCGTTACTCGGAGGGTTCAGTAGCTCTCCTACTATACCTAATCTGTCTACAAATCAAATGATTATCATCAGTCGATGATAAGATTCCCTGTTCCATATATCCGTACTGCCATATGGATTTACACTAGTTGGGATACTTGGAGTTTTCTTTCCATTTATTGCTACCAGTTGGGATGGAACTTTTATTCCACATGTACCTACTGATCCGCACTGATAGGGATAATTGGATATTTTTTCCCCATTTACCGGTACTAGTATATGGAACAGGACAAGATAATGTAACGTCCACTGCTCGACATACCGCTTCTATAGATACCTGCCTAACAGAACGGTCCTGTACATTCAGCATTCAGTGTATTCCCCCGATTCGCTTGATGTCGTCAGTCCACGAGCGGCAGCACCGGTAGCACCTTAGGACCCTCACGTCCAACATTTAGTCCGTCGAACTATGATGCCTACGGCCAACCACACCTGGAGCTCTACTCTCTTTGTCTGAAACGAAATGTCGGCAACGAACGAATTTTAAACGAAATTTCGCCAGTAACTCTATTTCATTTTTCACATGAAGTTCGGAATCATAGAAAATTTTCGTGAACGAATGGAATGAGTTATGTTTGTGAGTTCTTCTTGTCTCCACTGTTAAAATATTTTTTTTTTTACTTGGAAACAATATTACTTTATGTAAAAAAAAATGACGTGATTAAAAAAACGTCTTTTAACGGTGTTCAACAACTAACTTGTAGAGTTGATGCAATCGAATGTGTGTCAACCTAAATTTGTCGTTTATCGTTATTAAATACCTACTCGCAGAATTTGTTAAGTTTAATGAAATTTATACTATGTGCTTCCAACACCCAACAGTTTCCTCAGTTCTCTTTAACAGACATCAGTGTTTTAGAGCTAAAAACCAGTTTTCTTAGTAAATAAACGATAAGAGTTCCCTTAGAACGACCAAATTTAAGAATCGGATGGTTGAATTCGATCTCGATACGCGTCAAATGTCAAGGGGTTTTGTATCGAAGATTTTTCGTTCTCGTTACAAACTCGTCAAAGGAGATTGCTCAAATTGGCCCAAATGTACAAAAATATTGACATATACGGTAATTCTTGGCGAAATTTATACTTTATTTTACAGTCATTAGATTTTAACGGACACCTTTGTATAATATATTCATTTTAAAAAGGACTTTTAATTTTACCGGTTTGGAAAATATACGAATTATTTTTAATGTGTATGGGTGTAGTAACATTCAGCCAAAGACTGATCGAAATTGTTTATATAACATCAAAACAAATCTATTTTGTAAGGACGACAAAATAAAACATTTTTTTTTATTACACTATGGTATTAATATCCACAACTATATTATCATTTTCACTACATGCAAATGTGCTAAAACAATTTTTAATGATTAAACACCTCCATAAACGCATTATAAGGTGTGATACACTAAAAATCTAAAGTATGGTTATAAAATAAAAAATAATGAAGCTACTGAGGATATGGCTGTATAACCTATTTATCTCTTAGCTTTCTTTGATTAACTATTATTACTACCTATATAACTTATTTCCGTAAACAGAGAGAGAATACATTCTCTCTCTCTACGCTTATATATTTCTTATTATTTTTATACCTATGTACCTCTTTGCAAACATAACCTCAAAATCATTCAGTGTATTTGGTTTAAAGAAGTTCTCAGGGGTGTCCGTCAATAATATCCATTTCTACAGTAATTTATATATAATTTCGAAACTAGGAAACATTTTTTTATGATTATTGGTTTTTAGGCCAAACATGTATGGAAGCTGAGCAATCTCCTTTCTATACAAAACTTCTTTTTCAAAAATTCAACTATTTCAATTCGATATTGGTTCGTGATGAGGTGGTTCACCTCTCCACGGTGTAGGACAGGGTAGATTAATACTTTTGGCAACGCAAGCGTCTTTAAAGTATACCGGTAATTTAGACTTTCGTAAATAGAATAATGAATAAGTACTTACTTTTTATTATACTACCAAACAATATTGCTTAATAATGTTGGTGCCACGAATAATAAATCGAATATTTTTAGCAAATAACGTATATTGCAAAATTTGGTTAGGTTGGTGATATAACCGTGGTCTCACCGCTTCTATGTTTGGAAAAGTACATAGGTTGAAGTGGGTGTACGGGAAAAAATACCTTTGCCTCATAGGTGGGGCGTAGCGATAGGACCACGGTTAAAATCCGGAATTATTCTCATTCTGAATGGTGTTAACTTCCTGATGAACATACTGTTCTATTTTAGGAATAAAGTATACTTCTTCATTTCAGTCCCATTTTTTCAATGACTTGTATTGTAAGGGAACATTAATAGCGTCATCTTTAAATTTATTTCATCTAAATGTGGGTAAGCGGATGGGTGGGGGCGAAGCAACTTTATATAAAGATACGTTTTCATTCTAAATCACTTTAGAAAAATGAAAAAATTGACAATTGAAGTGTAGCTAGAACCTTAGCAACGTATCTTTAAATAACATGTAACAAGACTGGGGTTAATTAAAACTCGTATTGTGTGCAAGGTACTTTTACCATGATTTATTACATTAAACACCGATCGAGAAACGTATCAGCGGCTTGTAAGCGGCTGTCTATAGCCGTGAGGTCGCTAGAATGCCAGCGTTAATATTAAGTACCTACGGTGTACTCCGCAACTAACTAGCGACGCCCCCAGACCCCCGCCCCCTGTCGCAAAAACATAAAAATAATAAAAAAAAAAAACTAAACATGATTACAACAATTTCACGTTTATTTCAATCCATAGAACCGTTTAAAAGTCAAACAAAATACTACTCGTACATCGAAATCAATATGGTTTTGTGTTGTTGCAATGCCATGGTAAGTAATAAATAAATAAAGAAAGGGAGGGTGCGGGAGGGGGGCGGGGTGCAGGGCCGGAGCGGGCGTGGGTGGGGCCCGAGGCGCGGGGCCCGGGGCGCGGGGCGCGGCTGTAGCACCTTCCTCGCGGCGCCGCGGGCCCCGCCCGGCCCCACACTTACACTTAACATAGGTAGGTATACATAAACCACTTGTTCTTACATACGATTCCTTCCTATCACTTAATATTATATTCATTACATTAATATACCCATGTTACAACTTTCGGAGAAACGATTTATATAATTAATACATAATATTGAGTAATTCAAAGTAGGTATGTATATTGTTTAACAAACAAGATGGAATATCAAATGCCACCATGCGCGGCAGTAAACATTACGTTTTTTTTATACATATAATATCATTTGATATGAAACAGTGCATTTCAAAGTCAACCTTCACACCTTTGTAGAATCCCTCACATGTAAACCTTTATAGAAAAAACATTTTATTGTTCTCGCTTTGTATCCATAAAATACTTTCAAATGCAACAACTTCTTAGTCTTAGTTTATAAACATTAATTTTTCTTCAATTCAATAAACATTCAATTGACTCATTTATCAACGACAAAAACCTACAAAAATATATTATAACAATAGCACGAGTCAAGTAGAGTGCGGGAGAAACGTCCAGAGACGCGGGGAGCCGTAGGGAAGCGCGCGGGGCCCGAAGAGCGCACGGGCACCGGCCTCCTTACACTGGGAGGGGGCGAAGGGATGGATGCTCAGCGGCGCAAAGCGCCAGTTATATCTATATGCCCTTATCGACACAATACGCGAGTCTCTTTATAACTAAAAAAAAATAATATAAACTTTCAAAAACGTTAACAACTACAGCCATAACAAAAATAGACTAATAACGACTACGCTACGGAATCTACTAACTACTTAAACTATTTACTAAGTAAATTTGAAACGAAACTAGTGTTCGCTCACTACAGAAACGACAGAGGGTACGTACGGAGTCAGGGTGCGCGGGCGCCCCAGTTCTCCCGTTAGGATCTAATCTCATACGGAGCAGTCCTACGAAGCGAGCTACAGTGAGGGGCGTCGAGCGGCGCCGGCGCCGGGCGGACGGACGGGCCCGGGCGGCCCGGGCCGGCTCGAGGCCTTATTAAACCTATCTATATACAGAGGCAGCCACTACATAGTTGCGCATGCGTACGCGAGCCACTTGAGCAATCTTGCGTGGTGCGGCGGCGGGGCGAATCCCCGGCGCCGGCTCAATATAAATATTCAACAACATTAACTTATTACAATAAACCGCACTCGGTCGGACATCGTCGCGGCACGAAGTCGCGGCCGCGCTCGGGACGGGACACGATTGACCTTCTCCAAAATAAATATTTGCAAACAATTTTTGTCCGTACGTCGTTGACTAACCCTGTTGAATGTCGAACTGAGTCCGATGAAGGCATTAGAAACGACGAAAGATCTGAGCTCAAGCAGAACTTTGGTTAAGATTTATCTATTAAACTAAGTCAATAAACTTACGGTAACTGCATTATTAAATAATCCTACGGAAGTTAAAACATAACATAGGTGATTTATAAACTTGGCGTTTCGTGTACATATATTAACTCGAAGGCTTTTAATGGTAATTTCACAGTCAAGTTTAGCTCCTACATTACTCTCACTTTTTTAATTTTAGATCAATAAATTAGTTAACATATTCAAATCGACTAATTTTTACAAAGAGCGTTGGCAGACAATTATTAATTAAAATTTCAACAAAACTGTATATAGCCGAATAGAATAGTAAGTAATGAACATGATTAGTAAAGTTTTATAAATACACTATATTACAAATTGAAATCATAGTTTGCTAATACAACTTAAAGGGTTTAAGATAGAAATGGTTTTGTGTCCAGAGCCGGTGCGGCGCGTGCGGCGGCGGCGGGAGCGGCGGGTGGGCGCGGGGCCCTGCGACCGCTCACGTGTCGTGCGCCGTGTTTGTGCTATGCGAGGGGATGGGGTGGGGTGGACCGCCTATACATCCGCGTACTTGGACAGCTTCTCACGCAGGATGTGATTCTCTTTCTTCAACAACTCGACTTCTTGCCGCAGACCCATGTTCTGGCGATTGGAAATTAATTTTCATAAAAAAAAACACACACACACAGACATATTGTTATGAATTGTAAGTGTGATATTCTCAGAATTATAAGTGGGATTCTATTTAGTTAGAATTTACAGTAAGTTTTATTATAAATAAAAGTCAATAATAAAGAATCGAACTTATTAAAACATAACCAATTTTATTTATTTTATTCTAACCCTGCCTTAAAACAATCTTAGACAAATTCATATAAACTTTTAAACGTTTTTGAATTCATTTCCTATGGTTTGTAAGAAGCTTAGAGTATAGAGAGTGATAGTATAAAGGCTAACTAACCTCTTTCTCGAGGTAGCCAGCTCGTAAGGCGATCTGGTTCTCCTTCATGCGGCGCGCGTCTCGTGACCGCTTGGCTGCCATGTTGTTCTTCCGTCGGCGTGCCCAGTACTTGTCGTCTTTGAGGTCGTCGGGCACGAACTGCCGACGACGTCGATATGGGGTTAGCACGCCGCGCCAAACACTCAAACCACCCTTCACCCAACAGTGGAACAAGAGGCGTGTTACCGGAAAGGCTTACAACACTGAATAACAACTTGCGCCCTTAGACGACCTTGCGCCGGTCCTGGCGCGCCTTGTGCGCAGAAGACACCGTCACAGGATTGTTTTTCCATAAACCTTTCACGACACTTTTTATAAAATATGCATTTGACGCATCAGTTGTTATTTAGTATTGTGCCTTTTTAAGTTGGACTATTTACAGTGCTGTACCGGGTTTCCCATTTATTAAGGCGCTATTCCATTGCTGTGCAATAATATACTGCTTGCCGTTTCGCTTTGTATGAAGGTATAATAAATATCACTCGAAGCCCTGCTAAAGCCATATATATAGTAGCATTTGTAGTGAATTAGCACTTTCAAGTATTGCAAAATAATATAAAAAGAAATTTAGATTAGTTATGAACGTATTATCCCAATGAAAATCACTAAAGATACGAAAGTTCACCGGGTACGTAAAACAGTCCCAAGTAGCAATTGCATATTTTGCATAAAATCCGAATAACGCCTTTATTTTCGAAATTAATTATTTTTTTGTTCTCCTGAGCTCTTAATTATTGCTGCGCTGATAATTTTTGTCCTTTTTTTAATTTAGCAGAAATTAGTTTTTAATATTATTAATTATGTAAATAATATTATTATTATATGTCGAGAGACACTACACGAAGCGTCAGATTCGTTTATTATACAAATGATTATTATTAGGTTAGTATATCATAATTTGTCATATTACTCCGAATACAGTTTTTTAGATTAAAATAGGATGACACAAAGTTCGATATATACAGAAAAAAATGCCACTGTTAGCCTTATCTTCTTTTCCGTAGTGAAACAATAGGATCTTAGGTAGTGAATACTGCATCCAGAAACAAAATAGTACTAAATGAATCTGACTGTCTCAGGTTGTGTCTTTCTTATTTCTCTGTTTTAGTTATAATAATCTGCTTTAATTAAATTCCCAGGCATAATTTAAAAAAACTAAGTAACTACATCTAAAAAAAAAATGAAAATAAACTCACGCATTGAATAGTAGAATTCAACGCATTTATCTGCTGTTACAGACAACATAATATTTATCAATATTTTAATTTTTCGTATTACATGCAAAAATATTTTTTGTTAAGGAATTCCAAATATTGTCATATTCTTAATTCGTATCTTAACGAAAATTATGTTTTTTTTATTAAATTTTTCAAAAGAAGGTAATTTAAAGCCTCAACTTTTATCAAAGGCTTAAAATAAATTAAGTTTTAATTTTCTTTATATGTTAAGATGTAACTTAGAAACAATCAAAAAATTAGCAATATTTCGTTAGGAACGACATTATTCACCACGAAAGGTTAAAATGAAATTAACAAATTCGAATTTATGACAATATTGGAATTCTCTATAAGTACTTAAAAAAAAATATGCAGTGAAAGAAGTGAACAAACTCTAAATAAGATATTTCTACAATTCTAAAGCTTTCAAACTCTTCAATATTTAGATAGCAACACAATTCTAAGAAAATAATTATATCATCTCTTTCAAACATAAATATTTCAAATCCAGGGTTTAGACGCCAATGCTTCCGATTAAGAAACTTAAAATAAGCAATTTTTTTGTTTAAATATTACTGCCGAGCTTAAGAGGCAGTATTATCAACAAGTTAGTTTCATATCAATTCCATAAGCGAATGGTATAAAACACAAAGCAACATTTTCACAAACAAGCGCAAACATGTTTAAATTTATTTTTATTAAAACTATCCAACTAATATTCTAACAACTCTTTTCTTAAAAAAAAAAACCTGTACTGTACTGTAAATTCCTGTACTGTATTTTAGACTCCTTTTAGATGTGGAGAAATCTGAGCGCAATAAACTAGAAATTTATACATTAAATGCGAAAGATTAAATTGAAAATAGTGCAGTAACGTCTCAACCCTGCATTTTAATTATGCATTTTTCTAGCTTGCATTATTAATTAAGTATAGATAATTATCTAATAATTATATAATTATTATAATTATCTAATAATAATAATAATTATGTATTATACAATAATAATAATAATTATGTATTATATAATTATAATAATAATTATCTATTATAATAATTATTATCTAATAATAATAATAATCTTAGCATTAGATCATGCGTCCGAGCATTCTAGTGCTCAGTTTACTAAGTTCGTTAGATTGTTAGATCTGATGACGAAGCGTTAGTAAGCTGGCAGCGTTAGTAGGAAAACATAAAAGTTAATTGTTGCTGTTAAAAAAACATTAAGGAAAGGATTTTTGGAAAAGATAAAGGACCTATACGTCTTCGTATGAAAATATTAGTACTAGAATTATAACATTACGCTTATGTCAATGTACGAGTTTATTGCGGGAATAACAAGTGTTTTTTAAGAATAAATCCTAAAATAAAACTAGTTTTAACGAGTTAATGCACGAAACTTTATTTATTTATTGACGTTTCGCAGCCTTTTCAGGCTGCCTCGTCCGAAGGTAGCTCGACAAAATTAAATAAAAAATCATTCTGACGAAGCAGCCTGAAAAAGCTGCCAAACGTCAATAAATAAATAAAGTTTCGTGCATTAACACGTTAAAACTAGTTTTATTTAATGAGTGATGTGCGTGCAAACCTAAGAAACAAATATAATAAATCATAAACTTAACTCCCGTCTGGTATAAGTTAACAGGTACTTAGCGATAGTGCAGCGAGCCGGCAATTTTTTAATCATGTAGGTATGTTTTTTTTTCTCAAGAAATATAAATATTTTGTATAGTTTCTCGTTTTAAACATGTTGAAATTTAACCACTGGAGGGTCGATCGACGAGACATTGCTGGCAGAAGGGTAAAGTTCTAGCTTAATTTCTGCTCGTTTTGTCCTTGTATTAGCTTGGTTATATATTTGCATTATTAAATAGGTATAATCAAATAAGATGTTTGCTATACAAGTTTTACAAGTGTTACATTGTAAATCGAAATGGGTGTATGTATGCACCTGTGTTCGCCGGCGGAAAGGCATTGCGTCAAACGCCTAATAAAGCTAAAAGGTCCGTGATAATACGATGATGGAGCCGCGTATCCTGTGGTTTTTGTCTAAGGTTTAATACTGACTGCATACGGGGAAAAAAAGTATCCAAATCGGCAAAAAATCTGGTAAGACAGGCATTACATAGATTTATGTACCTACGTATGTATGGTATGAGTTATATGATAAAAGCATATAAAATGAACGACTCAAAAAGTGAAATATGAATTCAATCTTCTCAAAATAATAATCTCTACCCCGGTCGAACAATGTTAACTTATTCTGTTATTTGGAAATACCAAAATCATTATCATTTTTAACGGTATGGATTCGTGGCAACAAATTAATCAGTAATAATTTATTCGATTACAAAGCAATGTTTTTTTTTATAAATAAATATGACAACGAGAAATTTAGAAACAAAAATAATAGCTTTATTCTTTTTAATGACCAGTTTCAATGAAAACTCTTGACGCTTGATTTTTAATGAAACTAATATAAATAAAAATAAAATATAAATAATAATAAAACTAAAGTGAAATATGAATTCAAACTTCTCAAAATAATAATCTCTACACCGGTCGAACAATGTTAACCCATATTGTTATTTGGAAATACCAAAATCATTATCATTTTTAGCGGTATGGATTCGTGGCAACAAAATTATCAGTAATAATTTATTCGATTACAAAGTAATGCATTTTTTTTTAATAAATATGACAACGAGAAATTTGGCAACAAAAATAACAGCGTTATTTTTTTTTAGTGACCAGTTTTTTTGTCAATGAAAACGCTTGTTGATTTTTAATGAAACTTCTGTGTTGCCCGTAATTCAGGCCGGTAGACTAGATTTTTTGATTCTGAAACGTCCAATTTTCACTTAGCCATTGAACTAGTTCATTTTTTTTTTACCTTTTTCCGGCTATAGTCACTTTCTTTTTAGCAGTGTTCCAACAAATAGAAAAAAAACGGTATTGAGGTCGCGATACTTTACAATAACATTTGTGTCCAACCGATTTTCAAATTCTACTACGTACCTATTCTAGTAGTATATATATTATTAATCGGTTTTTTTCTGCATAAAGACTGGTTAGGCCTAGACGGAATAACGATATTTTTTTTATCATAGACTCCAGCTATGTTGCACAGAATTTTAATAAAATCATAATAATATACTTTTTGTTTCTTTACCTGCATGGTATATAAAAGGCTTAAAGCTTAATCTAACCAAATATATGGCGGTTAAGAGAATAAAAATTTGATTTATCAACACTAAAGTCAGCTGCATTGACTGTATGATTACTATTAAAAAAATCTATTTTTTTGGTTAGGGATGCGGTAAGGATACAGTAACAGGATATTAAATTTCATACAAATGTCCAACGATGTCGACTATAACAATATTACCAGTGAGGGAAACCTTAGTAGATAGAATTGTAACTTGAATTCTTATTGACAGATTAAGCAAGAAGAAAACGGCATTCGCCATAAGATATCCAACTAACGAAAATTTTACTAGAAAAAAAACTACTTGGGCCAGGCAGACTTCTAATATTCGCTTACTGCTATATCACTTTCTACTAAAATTTTCATTAGATTATTAAATTATGCATCGAATGCTTAAAACTCAAAACAAAATACGATCGCTATAGTTGGACTACTGTAGAAATAGGATAAAAAGAGATGAAGTAAGGAAGAAGAGGATTGAAGTTAGGAACAGATTGCAATGCCGCTCCCCGCAGGCGGTAGGCGCATGCCACTAGGAATGATCAGCGCACTAACTTCATTTACCTGTTTCCGGGATTTCTTGATCATCGGCTGAGGCTTAAGCTCCTCGTCGGAGAAGGCGCGAGTCCGAGGGTCGAAGTCCCGGCCCGACGACGCCATTGAAAACGCTGAAATCACGACAAACAAATACATTGGAGACAACTCAGTTCAAAAAGAAAGTTGTTATAGAACGATCTGTAATTAACCTATTGGAGCTTCATTAATAAATAAATAATATTTATAAATAAATATTTCCAACACTCACACAAATTAGCCTAGCCCCAAAGTCAACACGGTAAGGCTTGTGTTATGGGATACTAGTGTAACGGATAGAATACATATACAGTACATATATAAGTATATTTATATAGAAATATATATTTAACGTCCATGACTGCAGTACAAATGGTCGTATTCATCACACAAACCTCTGCCCCCACCGGGATTCGAACCCGGGTCCTCTCGAGCCGGCGACACCATGAAATCCGGCGTACAAACCACTCGGCCACGGAGGTCGTCTAAGTTAGTTCGGTCATTAGTTAGTTCCGTGTCAAATGACGCTTATCTACACGATGGGAAACAGCCTCCGCAACTTATAGTGAAGTATTGAAATTATATTATTGAAATTATGACTCTTATCATACTAGGCAACTAATGACTTGCGTAGACGAGGGACTTTCGTCTGCGGACTTTTTTGTCCGCCAAAATAGTTCGCTTACAACTGCATCGAATGACACACACCAGAGATTAACAGTACCGCATACAAAAAGTCCCCCGAACAACTGAGGGACCGGACAGGACAAAGATACGCAGATGTGACTAGTCGAAGATATGGTAACACTGATTGTGTTACCAGGTCCGATTTAAAAATGGGGAGGCGTTATAGAAAAACAGAGGAAGATGTATGGAAAGAGCTGCAAGAAGAAACAGTATATGCAGACAGAAGAGAGAATTGGTAAATCAAATCAAGATATAGGCCAGTAACGAATGTGTTTCTGTGACTTCTGCCGCTCCCCTCAACGCCTGTTTTTTTGGTTGATACAACATTTTATTTTTATTAATAATTTTATGGCTTGGATGCTGGTCCTTTGAGCCACGTCTTCGTCTATTCCTGATTCTTTATTTATATGTTTATTATTGTGGCTTTCATATATTCGAATAATATAGAAAAAATCTTGGGATTTTTCAAGTAGTCTTCTAGGCGGCGGGAGACATTATTTACATTTTCACTGAGTTCGCTTGCTAATAAAAGCCGTTGAATATTAAACTGACAGCATTAAAATATCAAATGATTTATGTCACCGGTAGAAGTATTACAATAGGGGCACATACTATCAGATATTATCTTCAGTTTTCCCAAATGAGCTGGTGTTTTGTGGTATTTTACATTATAATAAAGGTTACCTACATTCTTAAAGGCGGAAACGCAACTTAACATTCAATTAAAAAAAAAAAGAAAATCGTATTCTAAGAAAAAGAGAAGAATAGGAGAAATTTCAGAAATACAGGAGATCTACTGTAAACTTGGGAGACCTGGCAAGCTTGGCAGCAATGCACATAGACAACTTAAGTCCGTCTTGAGGAGCTCGACGGCGCCAGTGCGCTAACGGCTGCGGCCGTTGAAGTTGAGCAACTTTCGCAGTGGTCGGTCATTGGATGGGTGACCAAAAATTTACTATCTCGAGCTCCTCCGTGCTTCGGAAGGCACGTTAAGCCGTTGGTCCCGGCTGCATCTGCAGTTGTTAGCACCCACCAACCCGCAATGGGCCCGCGTGGTGGGTCATGGCCCAATCTCCCTAATCCATGCATAGGGAAGGCCTGTGCCCCAGCAGTGGGGACATTAATAGGCTGATGATGATGATAAATTTAAGTCCGCGTTGCGTACTCGATCCGATATAAAAAGAGCCTGTATTCTTCTTTAAAATGTCTTCTGTTTTTTTAACTTCCTCCGTGGACCAAACAGCCTCGTCTGCGCACGCCATAAAGAGTAAATTTTTACAACCCTAAGTCCATCTACTACCCAATAGGGCTTACAAACTGCAGGAATTATTTGCCTACGCTCAAACATATTTGGATTTGAACCCAGTACCTTTAGAGTAGGCAAAATTGGTGGGACCCCGGGTAATAGCCCATAATAATAGCTAAAGTTGCGTGGTCACAACACCATCATTGTTCTATAATAATTTTTACACTAACACGGCGTTCTACCTTGTTACTAAGCCATGAAAATTTTACGATGTAGGTATAAGTTGGCGGTATGTACGTAATGTATTTATTTCCCTATCGGAGAGCACTGTAAAGGTCGTAGCAGACATATCAACTCGGAAAGAGACCGTCACCGTGTCAACTCGAGCCGTTCAGTACGCCTAGCACGAATCATTATCGAATTCGAATAGGTTGCGAGTGCGAAATGTCAATGACAAATTTTGTATGGAAACTTGAACAGCAGCGCCACAAAGTACGTAACGAGAACTAAAAATCAGTACAGATTTGACAATGACATTTCGGACTCGCAAACGTTACGAATTCGATATTGGTTCGTGTTAAGGGTACAGTATTCTTTGTATGAAACTTCATTCTGCAACGCACATTTCATCGAATAAAATACTTGTAACTTGTGTTGGGTTAGGCCTCAATGGTGGTTTTATCGGTTTTAGGCGACAATGCAAATTAGCCGGAATCGTAACGTAATCGCCTCGCCTCGAGACAAGTAGGGCAATTCTGTAAAATTAAATCTCACTTCTGATTTCGGTAGCTGCCATTTTAGACATTAGAGACTGTGCGGAAAGAGAATGGGCGTGGCGAAAACCAGAACTAACATTAAGATTTTTATTTGGCAATCAAACCCAGCAATCTGTAAAACGTCAATGTTTTGTATTGATACGGATTTGTTTGTTGTTGTGATTTCTTGCGGTTTTTTGTATTTAATCATGTCTAAAAGGGGTAAAACATTACAAATACGGTAGAAAATCACTACAGCACCCTCCAATCTAAATCCCATTCTCTATCCGCACAGACTCTAGTTTGATATGCATTACGCCATTACACGGCGAATTGTCGCTTAGTCTGTATTAGCAGACAGTATAAGATATTTGACATTTGTCAGAAATTCGAATAAATATGATTGTTAGTGAGATTGCATCTTACAGAATACCTATGAAGCTTCTTTGTGAAGCGATTGCGTTAAAATTTCGATAATAATGCGTTACAGTAGGGAGTTTCATACAAAGAATACTGAACGGCTCAAGTTGATACGATGATGATCGCTTACCGAGTTGATATGTCTGCTACAACCTTAATACTTGCGAACAGAAACGGGTCGAACGTTTGTGATCACCAGTCTGTGCAAGTCACGTCTATCTTATAGCATACTTATATACAGGTTGCGGCACATAACTCGAGCTCTGACCGTAAAAATTAACATCTAAAGAAAAGATTTACTAGAAAAAAATCCACGCGGACCAGGCAGCGGACGGGATTCGAACCCGCACCCTTCGCAATCCGGGCGAATGCACTGACCAATTATGCTACCACGGCCCTGATGGCCGTGTCTAAATTCTCCTAGCCTTAAGCTGCAAGGCTCGAGTCCCGTCCGCTGCCTGGTCCGCGTGGATTTTTTTCTAGTAAATCTTTTCTTTAGATTTAAACATCTAGCAGTTAAATGCTCAAAAATAAATAAAAACATAAAAATTCAGATTTTGGTCTTGGGAGAAAACAAACGAAAGGGAAACCACTGGCTCTCGAGTAGTACCCATGCGCAAGTACCTCCTGCACGTTTTGTTCAGCGCTAGAGTTAGGTGCCGTGACCTGTAGTAAGCGGCCAATATAGAGCTTATAGACGCTTGCGATTCATACAATATCACTTGCGCCGTTGCCTATCCTGTGAAGCCCTGGAATCTAACCACACCATCAAAAGATAGTGTTATTATACTGTGGTCTTTGTAAGGCGGAGGTTACTTCCCCAGACGGGCGCTCTAAATTCTTCTTGGTTGTATGTGGTTTCAAGGTGTTGCCTACTCAAGAGGTCCCGAGTGCGAATCCCGGTGGGGCCAGATGTTTGTGTGATGAATACGAACATTTGTACTCCAGTCGTGGACGTTATTCTATTCCGTTACTCTAGTTTCCCATAACACACACACAAGCCTACATTGACTTTGGGGTTAGGCTAATTGTTGTTACTTTTGGAAGTATTTATTTATTTATTTAATTTGGAAGTATTTATTTATTTATTTAATTCGAGCGGAATATCCACTATGCCCTACCTCTCTTAAGAGTGTTAGGAATATTTATTATTAGTACAGTGTATCCCCGGTAGTCCGACAAACATTCTGCAGGGCAGTGTCGAACTATCGAATTTGTTGGATTATAGAGTACTGCCTAAGACCCCCTATAGTCCGAATGTTTTCCCAAAAGAGTACCTTGTAATCCGACAAATTACAGATCCAATGATAAGATTACAAATCATACTTCGTTATGTATGTCAAATTTAGTAAATTAAAGAACACAATAGAAAGATTGCGTTTTATTATAAAAGTAATATTAATAAATAGTGATGGTGCGTACAAGTTGTAACTTGTTCAATAATGAATTCCGAATACTTGTTACATACATAGACGATGTCGGATTATAGGGGGTGCCGGATTACCGGGGCTGTATTAGTATGTGTATAGTATGTGTACTCACTGGAGTCGGCCGGGGAGAGGGGTGGGTTGATGGTGTCGGGGCTCATGCAGTCGGAGGGCGAAGGCGACCGCTCCCGCTTGGTGACGGGCGCCTGCAAGCCCAGCGCCAGGCCTGCGCCCGCGCCGAACGCCGCGCCACCCAGGTGCGCGCCACCCAGCGCCTCGCCCGGCATGCCATTCTCCGACAGGAACTCGTCTAGATCCACGTACTGCAACACACCGCCACAATCAGCCTCCTCAGGCCCCCACGCGCAGCCAAACAAACACCCGCGCACCAGCTCATTCGCATCCGCCAATTCGCAACAGCTAATTCAAACACTTATAGTTATCTCAACATAGAATTTGTTATGACAGAAACATCTCTATTACCTAACAGTTAGCGAGACGCACACTCGATAGGTAATAAAGTTACTGACTTCCTGTACCTTGAGATCAGGGTCGTAGGGCAGCGTCTTGTCCCAGAGGTTAGGGCCGAGGAAGGCGGCTTGCGCCTCCCACAGCTCGTTGTCGTCTTTCTTGTCCTCCAAAGCATCCTTAGCGTTCACCGACTTGCCTGCAACAGGCGGGGCCGTCACTTGGCCGCCCGCGCCAGGCCAACACGCCGAAGCCAGCGTGTTGCCCCGATACGGGCGAGCTTTAGAAAACAAAAGAGCGATACACTCTTGTATAGCGAATATCGTGCGTGCAGCTGCAGTCGCTCGGCCTTCATAAACATAGAGATAATAAAAAGAAAGAAATTCGCGATAGCTGCGCAATAACAAGACACTAATATTATAACATACATATTATGTTATTATAAATAGTAAAGATCGCATATTGAGCGATATCAGAATTGACTCCGGATCGATATTAACTAACCCGTTGAACCGACTTTAGCTGTAAACATACGATAATACAAATAATACAGGTAACATCGGCAACAAAATTTGTTGAAAATAATAAATACTCATTAAGTTGTTGTTATAAAATACTATGTTATTTATAACAACAACAAGAATACTCAAGAAAATTTGCTTATAGACAAGTCACAAACTTTTCGGAGTTTACGATAGGCGATAACATTAGAACAGAACAGGCAGAACTTATCTTATTAATATAATTGAATATAGAACTTTTTCAGTGCTGGTAACCAACGTTTTGACTTCTCCGTTTAGAAAAGTAAAACGGAAAATTAAAAAAACAATGTACAAAACTACATTGTTTTTTTGCATATGCATGGAGTAGTTGTGGTCACCTCATGGAATATGAAATTGACAGTTGTTTAGATTTTGATGTGTTCACACGCGACAGCGATGGAACGATTTGTAGAAGTAATTCTTTAAGTTTAATAATTACATATTACATATATACAGCGACTTATTACGAATCCGAAGTTTGAATTTACTACACAAGATAATTAAATCGGTTTAGGTAACTTAAAAAAATCTGCTTTTCTAATAAATAGCGGGTAAAATACCTGCTAACTACATAACTCTTTCTCGCTTATTTTTTTTTTGATTTTTTAATACACAAAAATCAAAATACCGTTAAGTCGAGTGACAAGCATAGTTTATAATTACACAAATAATGATTTTTGTTGCTACGCTTCAAAGATTTTTTTTTCTTTGCATATTTTGATTAATCGGCTCAATAAATATTCCCAATGTAATTCCTTACTTTCAGTGTGATTGTATTTTTAAAGTTTAATCCAATGTTTTAAAAAACATTTTTTACAATTCAGTCATATTTAAAGAACATAATACCTATGAATCATTTACATGTAATTTCAGTTTATTATACCTATTATTGTAATTGTATGTATTTCTTTCTTGAGATTTATTGGTAATTTCATCTCTCGCATAAGTGTAGAGCAATTGCGAATCTTTGCTGCAAAAAACAAATGAATAATGTGCGCGAGTCGACACAGAATCCGTTGTATCCGTGGGAATTGCCGAGTATCCTCATGAAAAACCGTGCGAGTAGGGGGTGGTGGAAAGAGGAAGTGGCCCAGTCTGTCGCGGGCGGTGCAACTAGTGTAGGGTGCAGGAAATGGGAAGTAACCTAGTTGTCGGCGTAACGTGCACGCGCGCAGCGTTCCGCACGCACTGTCAGCCTGCGCTTGCGCAGTTGCACAACCAAACAACAGGGCTGCCGGCGTGGTTTCATAGGTACTGAATGGTGGAGTCAGAGAAAGAGATCTACATTATAACAGATGATCTTCTGCTTCAGGAATATGATCGTAGTCACCTTAAGAAGTGTATGTCGCTCGTTTTGAAAATATTTTTAAAGTTGAGAAATTACGTGAGAATAGATTTCCTAGTGAATTCGAATGTTGGGAGCGTGCGGAAGAGTATTAATGAAATATACCCTGCAAATTATTTATTTACTACTTAAAGTCTGTAGTCTAAATGGATGTCGCTCGTTTTAAAAATATTTTTAAAGTTGAGAAATTAGGTGAGAATAGCTTTCCTAGTGAATTGGAATGTTGGGAGCACGCGGAAGCGTATTAATAAACTAGATCCTGCAAATTATTTATTTACTACTTAAAGTCTGTAGTCTAAATTGTTAAAATAGTGAGATCTTGCGAGTGAAACAAAGTGCTGCTAGTCTGCTAGTTGAGTCCGGTTTTTCCTCGTCTACTACCTAAACTTGTAAGGTGCGGTTTAGCAACCTTACTGTCTAACGTCGTGTGCGCAGAGTCCGCGGGGGGCAGGCGCGGGTCGGTCCGCTCTCACTTTCATCGGAGAAAGTCCGGACTCTCCAATGACGCCATCGCACTCAACATTATGCGAGCAGCAACTGAACGCGAACGCAAGCGCACTTCCTACTGCGGTCGCCTAGCCAAGCAAACACAAACTTGGTGTCTTAAAAACTTCAGAATTTGCCAATAATACTTTAGAAAATAAGTTAATAATATTTCAAGACTTCATAAATGATTCGTTTGTTTTATCCAAACGCTAGAAGATATACCTATTCGTATTCTTATATGTGCTCACAAGGAAAAATCCATTATAATTCAATAGTCATGTTCAAGATTAAAAATTCTGTACAGGCTAGTTTATAACGGAAACTAGATACAATTAAATCGAAACAATTATCATATTAAAAAGAATAATATAAAATGAAGATGGTTACAGCCGTAGAAGAGTTTTGTTAATCACTAATGTTTAATGTCAAGTTAATAACAAAATCATCATTGATTGATAACGTTCGAGATGTATTTTTATCCTCTCTTTAACATGACATGAAGTTAGTTGAAGTGAAAAAAATTTTGCTATTCATACTTGTGCGATCAGCTGCAAAATCAGGAATCAGTGAACATCTTGTAAAGCGGTAGCTTCCGGAACCAAAATTCCTACGTAACACTATCGGAATCACTTGTCGAGCCAGTTCTAAAGCCTTTATGTTACTGTGATTATTAAATAAAAATTAATAATAACATATGATAAATTTTCCGAAATAAGCAAAATATGATAATACTTAATCACCCAGTAAGCAAAAACTATGTTTGTTTTAAAGAAAATGATTTAGTATTAAAGTTTGAAATCAGCAATGCCAACGTGATTTTGTTAGTTATTGACGTAGGTATTGATGTATTTGTTTATATAATTGTAAAATAAAACGTGTGTCGCCTGATTTATCATCAATCTTTTCATTATCAGCACAGAATTTTAATTGACCCGAAAAAAGTAAAAAGAAAAAATTTGTTGAGAAGAAGCTGTTGGAAGTATTTTATTCTCCTCAATAATGGACTTGACGTATTTTCTAATGCTTTTGTTAATTTAGCAACAGCAAATTGTCTTTTTTACGATCTAGTGAAAGTGGTTTTCGCATTACAACTTTTCCGTTTCTTGTTAAAATCTTCAGCGTGCCAAGATTCGGCAGAGCTTCTTATAACATGTTACTTTGATGTTGCATTGTTATAAATAAGTAAGCATTTAGAATAATTTAAACAATTTAATAAATTTAATTTACCTCTAGAGTGTTTATATGCTTCTTACTAGTTAATCTTGTATAGTAACGTAATATCGAATAAATAAACACGCGATTTGAATACACATATTGCAATAACAATGTGGACTCAGCGCTTTTCCCCGAGGAAGCACTTTAGCTTATATTTTAAATTGGCTTATTTTGACATCTACTATATAAAAATAAGTCGGGTTTTCCTTCCTGACGCTATAACTCCAGAACGTACGAACCGATTTCCACGGTTTTGCATTCGTTGGAAAGGTCTCGGGCTCCGTGAGGTTTATAGCAAAGAAAATTCAGGAAAAATTAAAAAATAAACTTCTTTTAATCACCAAACGAAATGTTACATCACGAATACACGAAGCCATCTGATGGCGAAACGGAGTTCGCCGGGTTTGCTAGTTGGATTATACAAATACGGAAAAAAATAATTTTTGGGTGATTTTAGTTAATTTAGTGCTATGTTGGCTCATACAATGAGAAGTTATAGATAAGGGGTTGTTACAAATCCGAAGCCAGGCTATTGGAAATTTTCTTAAGAGAATAGTGTTCGTTATACAAATGTGTTGCCTTTTCATAGAAATGTTATTAATATGCAATTAATTATACATAACAGAAAAGAAGAACTGAGTGCTCAGTAGTAGAAAGTCTGTTTCCTAAAATGTGATTTTACCTGTGTAATTTATGATAATGTCTGCATTCCTACAATGTCTACCTTTAAAACGTCTTGAAAGAAACATTAATTTGAATATCCTGAGCGAATAAAAGTTATCACTCTTTTTGTACATATTTTTTTCACATTCAACATCATCATCATCAGCCTATTAATGTCCCCACTGCTGGGGCACAAGGCCTTCCCTATGGATGGAATAGGGAGATTGGGCCATGACCCACCGGGCCCAGTGCGGGTTGGTGGGTGCTAACGACAGCAGATGCAGCCGGGACCAACGGCTTAACGTGCCTTCCGAAGCACGGAGGAGCTCGAGATAGTAAATTTTCGGTCACCCATTCAATGACCGTTATCACATTATCCTTATGAAAATGTTTTCACGGAAATCGATAAATCTTCTGGGTGCATAATTTGGGTGCATCGGGGTGCATAATCCTAATATGACGACCGCCGTGGCTGAATGGTTTGTACGCCGGGTTTCATGGTGAGCGTCAGAATGGTCGGTCACTACCCATATTTTACATCGAAATAATTATAGAAAGTTGCTACCTAGTTGCTTCTAGTTGCTACTAATCGTTAAATAGTTGCTACCCCTGATTAAAACAAAATAAACTACTTTTTAGGGTGGCCAGCCATTCTGACGTCAGAATGGCTGGTCACCTATCTAGTGAGAACAAACTGCTAATAAATAAGTGTAACTAAATAGAGTTTTTTTTAAAACAATAGTTGCTACTAGGTTGCTACCTTTATATAGCAACTTTGGGGTAGCAACTATTTAACGATTAGTAGCAACTAGAAGCAACTAGGTAGCAACTTTCTATAATTATTTCGATGTAAAATATGGGTAGTGACCGACCATTCTGACGCTCACGTTTCATGGTGTCACCTACTCGAGAGGTCCCGGGTTCGAATCCCGGTGGGGGCAGATGTTTGTGTGATGGATACAATATCCATATACTTATATATGAGGAGCTAGCGAACAAAACGGTGTAATTACGCATCTGGTCAAACTA